GGCGGGGCCGGGGGGCGAGGCGGCGGCGGGCCGCCGGGGGCCGCCACGCACGCGGCGCGGGAGCGGGAGCGGGGGGCTGTGCCAGCAATCCCGGCCCGCGGCGCTCGCTGGTCCACAGCGGTTTCGGGCTGGAGGATCAGCGGGGCCAGGCCCCTGCTCTGGGCAGGAAAGACAGCCGGTCCAATAACCCCTGAGAAGTGCGCGCCGTTTCCCCGTTGAGGAGCCTCCAAGTGTTCTCGACCTTGTTTGTCCCAGGACCCGTCTGCAGGTATCCAGGGCCAGTCCCCGCCCGCCGGCACCTACCCTGCACATCCTTACACATTTCACAGACATTAGGGCTGGAAGGGATCTCGTGAGGTCATCGGGTCCAGCCCCCCCTGCTCTTGGCAGGAAAGACTGCTGGGGTCAAATGATCCCACCACGATAAGCATCCAGATGTTTTTTGAATGAGCCCCGAGTAGGTGCTTGCACCACCTCTGCGGGGAGTCTGTTCCCGACCCTGGACACTCGCACTGTAAAGAAGTTTTTCCTTATGTCCAGTCTAAATTGGCCTTCCAGGAGTTTGTGGGCATTAGACCTTAGGGGGCACTGGTGAACAACTGTTCTCCCAGATCCTGATGCACACCCCTTATGTACTTATAGGCTGCACCAAGTCCCCCCGGAGCCTTCCCTTCTCCAGGCTAAAGAGTCCCAAAGGAGACTGGACACACACCTTGCTGGAGTTACTTGACTGCCCCAGAGCGGGGGGGCTGGACCCAATGATTTCACGAGGTCCCTTCCAGCCCTAAACTTCTGTGAATCTGTGTGTGGCCCTCGCTCCTGACCTGCTGCCCCCAGGCTCCAGGCCCCCAGTGTGTGGGGCAGGGCAGGTTTCGAATGACGCTTTGACTCGGGAGGTTTGCAAAAAAACCTGGGCTGCCCGTCACAATGCCCTGATAAAATCGCAGACCACCCCCAGGTTATGATTTGCAAATCTTATAGAGAGGCTGTCATCTCTTATGGGGAGGGCTGAGCCCCTCCGAGCTCCCCCATAATTCAAGCCCTGGGGCAGGAAGAGGGTGTGTGGGGCATGGAGGGCTGCAGATCTGCCAGCCTGCAAGGGAAAAGCCATGGTTTCCCACATTTTTCTCCTTTAAAGAAGAATCCATTTTAAAAGTTTATTTGTGGTCCTTTCATATATTCTTGTGACCCACTTTTGAGTTGTGACCCACAGACTGAGAAACACTGCTCTGTGCTTTACAGCAGACTGCCATCCACCCTGACACCACACAGACCTAACACCCTGACTGACATGCCACAGGGAAAGCAAAAGGAATTGGGGCAGCCAACGGTCTTCACTCTTTCTCTCTCTTTCGTATGACATTTTAGGATTACAACATTCATAGATTAATATCTAAATGTGATAACTATTCGACTGCTTCAGGGGTAGCTGCATGGATTGATTTAGATTGCCATTAAATGATTTAATTGGGCAATCGTTCACAATGTGTTGCACCGTCTGAAAAAATTGCATCACAATCACAACCCCGACTCTCTTTGATTACCCAATTGTGGAATAGGTGTCTACATTTCCGATTAAGTGTCGGGCCCCAGGCCAGAAAGGGGAAGACAAGGATTGGCCTCATTCACCGAGTGGCTGTGAGGGGTTGAGGGGGCTCGGCATGATGGATTGTGTTGAGATCTGGGTTTAATCTCACTGGGTTGCTACACCGAGCTCCCTCAGCATGACACGAGTCAGGTCAGAATAGAATAGAAAAGAATGGATGAGGTGGGCAGGGGTTTCCCACTAAACCACACGTAAAGGCTTCACATGGGACTTTCAGCTTCTCTCAGGCATTTCCAGACGCATACACACACCTATCCTCTCTCTCTTCCATAACACACACAAACACGCATTCCCCCATTCTCTCTCTCCTCCATAACACATGCAATCACACACCCCCCTGTCTTGTCTTTTCTCCATTGCACACACCCATCCTCTCTCTTGTCTCCATTACACATGCACACCATCCTCTCTCTTCTCCATAAGTATCTCCCCAAAGAAAGCAGGATATGGAAAGGTCAGGTCTACATAAAACAGTCTTTCCCTTTTCTCCAAGAATTGTCCGCAGATGCACCTCCCTCCTTGTGCTAACTGCGGCCAAAGGTCATTCAAAATCATTCTGTGAGAGTAAAGGGGCACTATTTTTTGCCTCCATTGCTCACAAAAAAACTTCACCCACTTGCCATTTTACTCCATGTACAGTTAAGATATTTATAGATATGACATGTACAGCACTATATTTATGTACCTGTGGTAATATGGCTTGAATTATCTGCCCATTAAGATTTCCCTTAGAAGCCCTCAATTTTGTATGTGATTGATGGGTGATCTG